TCATCAAATCCTAAAATTGCTATCCTCCAATTTACCTTCTAATAACTCATGTGTATCCTTGACACAAACAGGTATTTATTCTAAGGCTTTCTCGTATAGTAACTCAACTCCATGGATTATAGATTTTGGAGCTTCTAATCATATGACAAGTTCTTCTAATCTCTTTGAATCATACCTTCCTTCATATTCCAATGAAAAAGTTAGAATTGCAGATGGTAGTTTTTCTTCTGTTGCAGGAAAAGGAACCATTAAATTGACTGAGACCATTTCGTTACAGTCTGTCCTCCATGTTCCACAATTAGCATGTAATCTTTTATCTGTCAACCAACTTTCTAAAGATTCTAACGGTCATGTTACTTTCTTTGAATCCCATTGTATTTTTCAGAATCAGAACTCGGAGAGGATAATTGGCCGCGGTAGGATGCTTGATGGTCTCTACTACTTTGATAAAGGTACGTTTAGTAATAAAATAACTCAGGGCCTTAGTAGTATTAGTTCTCTTTCTGTTAGGGAACAAATTATGTTTTGGCATCGTAGACTAGGACCTAGTTTTTTCTATTTAAAATATCTGTTTCCAAAGTTATTTAAGGGAATTCATTGTTCATCTTTTAATTGTGAAAGTTGTTTTTTAGCAAAAAATCATCGCTCCACATATTTTCCAAAATCTTATGAAGCTTCCAAACTATTTTACTTAATTCACAGTGATGTTTGGGGTCCTTCTAAAATCAGTACTCATAGTGGAAGAAGATGGTTTATTACTTTCATTGACGATCATACTCGTCTGTCTTGGGTTTATTTAATGTCAAAAAATCTGAGGTGAAAGACATTTTCAAAAACTTTTATGAGATGATTGAAACTCAATTTCAAACAAAAATTTGTATGTTACGTTCTGATAATGGAACTGAGTATTTTAATGAGTTTTTGGGAAATTTTTTGAAAGAAAAAGGTATAGTTCATCAGTTTACCTGTCGGGATACTCTTCAACAAAATGGGATTGCTGAAAGAAAAAATAGGCATTTACTTGAAGTAGCACGTGCTATAACGTTTTCTATGCATGTTCCAAAATATTTATGGGGGGAAGCGGTTCGACCTACCTAATAAATAGGATGCCTACTAAAGTTTTAAATTTCAAAACTCTCATTGAGTCATTTAAAAATATTTTTCCAACATCCTGCATATATTTTGATCTACCTCTCAAAGTTTTTGGGTGTACTACTTGCGTTCACACGCCTAGTCATTTCTGGTCGAAACTTGACCCTTGCGCTATTAAATGTATTTTCTTAGGCTATGCTTTAGGTCAAAAAGGTTATAAATGTTTTGATCCTCAGACAAAAAAAAAATTGTGAGTATGGATGTGTCTTTTTTAGAAAATCAACCATATTTTACCCGAAATTCTTTTCAGGGGGAGAAAATGAATTTGGAAGATAATTTTTGGGATAATTATGTTCCTCTTCCTAGTCCTATCTGTTTGGATTTTACTAGTCCTTCGATGCCAAGTATAGAAACTGTCCAATCAGGGGGAGAAATACTACAAAACGATTTTGCAAATCCTAGTTCTGAGTTAAAGTTTTATACTAGAAGGAAATTCAATCAGAGGAACCAAGATCAAATAGTTACTCCTTCACAAAGCCAATCTGAGACTC